ATGTTAAAAAATATTTGTTTGAGAGTACCATTCATGATTTTAAAATTTTGTTAGAGAAAAATTTTAAAATTATTTTCTAAAGTGATAATTAATTTTACTTAAAACCTCAAAACGGAAAAAAGGTAAGCCGTCTTACAATTTGAACACAAGGGCATTGATGAAGACTTGGATGATAATACCATGACCAAGACTCATTCAAGTCTTTCATTCGTGTGAACACAAGGACATTGATGAAGACTTGGATCATAATACCATGACATAGACTTATTCAAGTCTTTCATTAGTGTGAAAATTTGTCCTGTCAGTAAAAAAAAATTGAAGAAGGTTATTTTCTTATGAGTTACATTTGCAAAAAGTCAAGGACTTGTTTTTTTTTCTTTTTTTTTTTTTCCAGATGGTCATAAACTTTTGTCTCTAAGTAAAACTATGGATTTTAAAGATAATGAAAATATTTTTTCACTTAATTGATTATAAATTTGGTAGAAAACTAGCTAGTCTTTTCTATTCATGACTCATAATTAGGCTCAAATTAAAATAATAATGATAGTATTTGAATTTTTTTTTTTAAAGGCTCTTCTCAAATATACTAAAGATGTTTAGCCAATGTTAAAAAACATTTGTTTTAAAGTACTTTTTATAAGTTTGAAATTTTGTTTAAGGGAAATTTAACAATTGTTTTTTAAAGTGAATATTAATTAAGTTTTGATAAAATTTTAGATGTACAATTTTTTAAAAATTTGTCTAAAATACACTTAAATAGTTAATTTTAAGTATTTCTTTTTAATAAAATTTTAAATTTTTGAGAAAAATAATACTTTTTAAATTTTACCAAACACCTTCACTAATCTAAGTTGAGTTCAAGAGATGAAAGAAGAGAATAATAAACAATAACTTAATAAACATTAACTTTGTTTATCTTTCATTGTAATCTTCAATTAATATATAAAATTTTTCCATGGAAAGAATACCAATTCACAAACAAGAACAAGAGTAGAATCCTAAAAGAAACATTATAGCATGAAAATTTTAATTCTATTATTATACGTCTTAATCTTAGAATGAGTCCAAATTCTCGGTACTATCTATCTTTAATTCTCATTGTTGCTTATCGGAAGTAGATTAATTAATTTCTTTTTGTAATCTGTAGATGTTAAAAATATCATAAGCTGATTGCCAAATAAACTCTTAATTCTTTGAGTACTGATAGAGTTTAAAGGTGTATTTACTTTTGCTAATTTTTTCATCTTATAATTTTTTTTCCTAAATAGTATATTAAAATATTTAGACTTGTAAGTAAATTTTAAACTAATATGAGCTAACATTTATCACTATCAATTGACAGAAAACACCAAAGTAAACAATGCCAAACTTTGCGAAAATGCTATATATTATTTAAACTATATATCACTTTCAAGATTGGTGATGAACTGGTGATCACTAGTGTACTTTTTAATAGGTATTTTAATACAAATTAATGATGTATTAATGATAAAAAATTAATTTATAAAAAAAATTAAAAGGTAACTTTAGGTCTCGTTTGGTATAGCGGTTTTGGGGTAGTGATTAGCAGTTTTACCTAAATCGCTAAATATAGGTGTTTGGTAAATTTACATATTTCGAAACCGCTATAAATAAAGTATTTGGTAAAATTTTTATTTAACGGTTTGAGATTAATGGATAGCGGTTAGAATTCAAACCGCTAGCGGATTGAAAAAGCTAGTTTATGTAGCTTTTTGTACCGAACCGCTAACGGATTAAAATTTTTTAATTTTATTTACAAATTTATCTATCTTAATTTTTTAATTTGTGGTCACAT